CGGCCACCCTGCCTGCAGTAGAACCATCTTTGCCCGTGATCCTCACTGAAACAATGAATAAAAGAAGGGAAAAATTAGGAAAATATGAACTATCGGAAATTTAGAAATTTCTGGTATTTTTCAAAAAGAATTGAACTCCGGTAAAATTTGAAATTTCCGGTATGTGCTGTAAAGCTTCAGAAATTTAAAAATTCCAGCACAAAAGATAAATACTAAACCCGGGAATTTCAAAGTTTCCTGTATAAAATACCGGAAATTATACAAATCCACTGTAAATTCCTTATTATTTCATGATATTTCAGGTATCGCCCAGTGCATTTAAAAAATACGGTGTGGTAATAGGGATGGCAAAAAAACCGTACCCGCAGATAAAATCTGTCACGAGCACGGATTGTATATCTAAAGTTAGTTTTCAAAATCACCTGGAACTAGAATTTTATAATCCATTGAAAGATTAAATCTAGGGAATGATCTAACCCCCAAAACATGGGCTTGGATTCCTCTAAGAATAACAAATATAAGCTAGGTTGTCAATAGCGCGCTATAGCGGTATAGCATAGTGGTAGAGGACCACGCCGTGACGTTTTTGGGCTGCTAACTGTTATTTACAATAGCGTAAATAGCGACCTAGGAAACACATCATGAGCATGATCCCTCCTCGCTTGTTCCTCCTCTAGGATCTCATGATGAACTGGCCTCGATGGGTTCCCTGAAGCATATTCTACCATGTATGGATGAGACACCCTGAAAAACCATATCATGTAATCGTACTCGTAACTCCAATCGTCTGGAGCCACAGTACTTCTAGCCTCATCAGGTACAAGATAACTCTCGAAATCATCAAATAGAGCATCCATGTCCCTCCTCTTCACTGTCGGAGGAGCACATACAGCAGGATCCCTAGGAATGGTCTGGGTAAACCCGAACTGACGCATCACCCGCTCAGGCATATAAGGAGAAGTCTTGTGAGTCCCATAGACCAACCAATCTATAAACAGTGATACCTCATCAAACGGTACCGTCTCACGGTGGTCGACGTAGGAACTAAAGTGAATGTCCTCATGCACTAGCCACTCCAGGTAAACCCGGAACGACTGTATCGTCTGGTTCCCTCTGAACGGCTCGCATGCGGGAGGACGATGTAGAAGGAGTAGAAGCAGAAGAAGGTGCATCCTATATGGCCCGTTCGGATGTCGAAGGTCTAGATGTCGAAGGAGACTGTGTTGCCTGACTCCTCTCTTTCCGCACAAAAGCATGTTGTACAACTCTTCTGTGTGTAAAAAACATTGATTGTCAAATAAAGTTTACAAAGTGTTTTCTAATGAGTCATAATTATGTAAATTAGATAAAACAACACATTTAGAACCTTATTTCACTAATTTGAGTAGAAATCATATAAACTCTAAAAATAGCTTAAATCACTTATTTGATTGATTGGTAGTGATTGTTGCTTGCTTGATTCCGTTTGAATATTATATGTATCCAATGCTTGAATATTTGTGTTGATTTTTTGAGAAAAAAAATTGGTTTTGGTGACAAGGGTTTTAAAGAGAGTTTGAGAGTGTTGTTGGTTTGTTTTTTCAAAATGCTGTAATGGGAGGGGAAGAGGCATGACACCTTTAACTGCGTCCAGGAATCAGAAGTATACTTCCGGTTTGGAATCGGAAGTATACTTCCGGTTAGCACTCAATCTTTCAGCGTATTTTACATATGATATGGTGTGAATCGGAAGTATACTTTCAATTTTAAAAGACATTTGTGAAATTTCACGTGTACTAAGAAAAGCATGGGATAGATTAAAAAATTCCTTTATTTTAAAATGGTTAAAATTATAAATGAATAAATTAAAATGTTTAACATGAATAATAGCAAGAATTATAATGGCCACGAACTAATGTGAATATAAATCACTAAATTATCTCATCAATAATCCAAACAACACTTATAAATCACCAAATTATCTCATCAAAAAACTATTGTGGTGATGTAAGGAATATGCTTTTGTTAGAGAGTACTTTTGTTAGAAAGCTCTATTGAGAATTTCTTAACAACAAGATTGTCATCATGCATAGTATATCTTATACATTTACGGAGTTCTTTTCGAAAGGCTTCCTTCATGCAGTTTTCTTGATTAGTCTCGGTGACATCATTCAATTGGATGCAGTCATTAATATTTTGGTCGTGCCCTTTATAAATATGGCTAGGGCTGTTTAAAAATTTTATAGAACTTAATCAAACCGTCAAATCGAATTGAATTGGAGTTAAAATAACTGAATCGTTATTAATGGTTAGTGAATCGAATTTATAATTTAATAATTGTTTTAAAATCGTCCCGTTAAACAATTAATCAATCTCAAAATAATTTCGAACCAAACCATTGATACTTTAATAAATTAAATAAAAATCATTTTTTCTGAAAATTAAAAAAAAAAGTCAATTTTCTCTGAACAAAAAAAAATCTTTTTTTTTAAATAAAAAAAAATCATTTTTTTCGAAAAAAAGTCAGTTTTTCAGAAAATAAAAACAATCAGTTTTTTTCGAAATTTTTTTTTTTTGAAAATAAAAAAAAAAAAAAATTTCAAAAACAAAAGAGTCAGTTTTTTTTCAAAAAAAAAATTTGGTTTCTTCTAAAAATGAAAAAAAAAAGTCAATTTAAAAAAAACCATTTTTTTTTTCGAAAAATCAATTTTTCCCAAAATTTTAAAGTTGATTTTTTTCAAAAAAAAAATCAATTATCTTTGAAAAATAAAGATGTCGATTTTTAACGGAAATAAAAAAAAGTTAATTTTTTTGGAAAAAATAGATTTAACAAAATCAAGTATAACCCTTCGTTTATTTAACAAATGCTTCAGTTATGAAAAAATTTGTCTTATTATGGATTGGTACGGTTCGGAATTTCAAACCATTATACCAAACCAAAACTTTTGATTCAGTTCGATTTTAAAAAAATAAAACAGTTCAGTTCGATTCATATAACCTTATGTAATAATTGGATTTGGTTCAATTTTCTAAGAGAATCGTATCATAAACAACTCTAAAAATAATAATACTTTAATTTGTCAATTTGAGACATTTCTATGAGTGGGTGGAGGTCAAACTCCTCCTCTAATAATCCAAAGGCTTCCTTCACAATCACACGTTACCTTTATATACGTTTTTATACACGTTTATGTATGAACATTGTATAATTCAATACAATATTTTCAAATTATTCAACTGATTGGTTGCCTTGCATAAAAACTGATTGGTATATTTGGTAAATTTTTAATGATTAATTGAGAATAATTAAATGTTGAAAGTATCCTTTTGCTGAAAGTATCCTTATGCTGTTTATTTTCTTTTTTCCATCTCTTTTCAATATTGTAAGGAGCTGAAAAACCATTGCTATCCAGTTAATTTAAGGAATTTCTTAACCCACCCCCATAACCTTGTTACACACCACGCGAAATTCATTAAATACTCCTCAAAATCGGAAGTATATTTCCAGTGCACACCACCATCTAATTAAATATACACAAAAACCGGAACTTTACTTCCGGTTCTGTACCGGAACTGTAATTCCAATTTTAATCATAACAGAATCCAGAAAACTTCATTGCATTGGTTAACATGGACATTCATATAATTCATTACATAAACTTAGCAAATACATTTAATAGTTAAACATAAATCAAACATTACAAATCAATATCCGGGTGGAAGTTGCAACATCCTCGTAATATCATCGACTGTTCTTGATAAAATCGCATCTAACTCGATTGGAACTTTCTCCCGAAAACTTTCATACGTAAACCACATAGCCCGTAAATCAGCGTTGTTCTTCGGCTCACGGTTCATGAGATGAAGATTCCATTCATTGTCAATCAATGGTGAGCGGTATTCGATCTTCTCTATCTTTCGACCGTCGTCAAAAGGTACAAGTTCCTGCAATGTTTCACGCACATCTTCAATAGGGGTGTACACTGATCTTGAACTTGAATTCGCGGGATGGTGTGGCATTGGGAAAATGGACAACTCCAACAACCCATTTGATGTTCAATTGCATGCCCATTTTCTGGTTTGTTGTGTTGTGGTAGGGAAAAATATAAGAAGAGAGGTATTTTTATAGTAGTTGGATGTAAACATGGACCATACAAATCCTATCTTTGTGTCAGTGATAAAACCAGAATTAAAGTTCCGGTTATTAGCTTACCCAAAACCGGAAGTATACTTCTGGTAAATGTCCTAGGAGTGAAAAACCAGAAACAGAACAGAAACAACAACCTGTACCAAAACATCTCATGTACTTAAATATTGTGCATTTGATCAAACTACAAAAATAACTATATTAAATCCACAGGTGGCACCCCTTTTGAGTTTTCCCTAAAAGATGATTTGGTTTTAAAGGCATCATTCTAGACTTGCTACATCAGTGTCTAATTGAGATAAGGAGTTGGAAGTGGAAGAGCTTGAAATTGAATCAAGTGATGAGCAAGATAATATTAATGTGGCGGAACTTAGAAGTGAAGATGAGGCGTATGTGATTTAGTCATTTTGTTTATGTTTAGAATTTGGTTTAGTCATTTTGAGGATGTTCCTAATTTGAGTCACACTATATGTATGTCGCAACTTTTGGTTTATGTATGTTACAACTTTTGTTTTTAAGTCATTCTGGTGTTTGAACCTATTTTTAGTATTTATGTTTTCATATTTTTAAAAGCTCACAATAGCAGTCATCCCGCTATGCCGTAGGAGGCCCGGCACTATGCCGCTATAGCATCTAGGTCAATAGTGGTTTCCAATATTGATTGTGAGACTAATATTAGAGTTTATAGAAACAAAATGCAAAGTAATAATAGTAAATAAATAAAAAAACAGTTGTAGTTGTAACATGTAAGCCAGATGCACTACACTGAGGAATTTGTTAAAAATAGTTGAAAACTCATTCAATTACAGAAAAAAAAAGTTTGATGTCTTGTACCATTGCTTCCACTACTTCTGAAAAAGTGGAAAGGGAACCACTACTTGAAAGTCTTGAAAGTCTTGAAAGTCTCCTGAAAAATGGAAAGGGATCCTGGTTCTTGTTCTGATTGTTCTGATTCTTCTGCTGATTCTCCGGGAAGAAGGCCCTAAAAGCGAAGGAAAAAAAACAGTTGGCAACAAACAAACAGTATATAATGTCTCTGAAATCAAATGAAAGCACAGATGAAAATTTTTACCGCCTTCCGCAAGATATCTTGACCAAAAAATTGGAATTCCTTTCTAAGTTGAGCATTAATCTTGTCAAGCTCAGCTTTTTCTAGCTTCCGTGGTGGTGTCGTAATGACTTGAGCCTCTTCTATTTTGGGTTTTTTGCGTTTCAATATGTCAAGGTCTAAATCATCGCGTTCAGATCCATAACGCCGAGGCCGAGGACTTATAGGTTCTAGGGTTTCAAAATCGATTCCAAAATAACGGGTTCCAAGACCTAGTTTCAAAAACTCTTTATCAGGCCCAACGGGATTTGCCATTATGATATCGAATATCTGTCCAAAATAAATAAGGTCAAAAATCAATTTGAAGAATAAATAACAAGAAAGACGTGTTGCTAAATAGATAGAAATTGGAACGATGATTCATATTACCTTGGATAGACGGCACGGTATGCCGAATCTGTTTGCTTCACGGCGCGGCGGAATAGATAGGGCTTGTTCGATGAATGCCGAATCTGTTTGCTTCACGGCGCGGCGGAATAGATAGGGCTTGTTCGATGAGAATGAAAATGCAGAAAGCATATACTGATATTTTATTTAAGAGCACGGGACTCCACAACTAGGGCTTTTACGTTTTTAGTGAAAACTAATTTATTTATCAAGTATTCAACTATATTAATTTTAAAAGGATATTTAAGTAATTTTATTAATTATTAACGAATATAGATATATCTGCTGGTACTGGTATCATTAAATCAGTATTTATGTCTGTAAGAAAATTGATAATTAAATATTCGTTTAAATTATCCGTGGATACCTGTTAAGATATTTAATTCGTGTTCGTGACAGATTTTATCTGCGGGTACGGTTTTTTTGCCATCCCTATTACCACACCGTATTTTTTAAATGCACTGGGTGATACCTGAAATATCATGAAATAATAAGGAATTTACAGTGGATTTGTATAATTTCCGGTATTTTATACCGGAAACTTTGAAATTCCCGGGTTTAGTATTTATCTTTTGTGTTGAAATTTTTAAATTTCTGGAGCTTTACAGCACATACAAGAAATTTCAAATTTTACGGTAGTTCAATTCTTTTTGGAAAAATACCAGAAATTTCTAAATTTCCGATAGTTCATATTTTCCTAATTTTTCCCTTCTTTTATTCATTGTTTCAGTGAGGATCACGGGCAAAGATGTTTCTACTGCAGGCAGGGTGGCCGATAGAGCGGAAGCTCAGGCCCCGGCTAATGACATCCTATATGTATATTTTGTGACACACAAACTTCTTATTTATTGCATAATATTTTGACGATTACATGTTTCAAATAAAATAAAATAGTACAATAAACAAAAACTAAAAAGAACTAAACATGAAAACCTAAACATTATTGGATGATTCTAGATGTTTAGCATCTTGATTATATCGTCGACGGATCTTCAGATCTTCGTATCCAACTCGATCGGACCTTTAGTTATCCTACGGCGAAATGATTTCCACATGACCTTCACATCTTCATAGGTCTTCAACTCAATTAGGTTGTATTTCACCCAACCATCTGTATCGATATAATGATCCTGAACTTGAAGCTTAGGCTCGGGCTGACGACGTCTTATATGTATATTTTGTGACACAAATACTTCTTATTTATTGCATAATATTTTAGCGATTACATATTTCAAATAACATAAAACAGTACAACATACAAAAACTAAAAAGTACTAAACATGAAAACCTAGACACTATTGGATGATTCTCGATGTTTAGCATCTTGATTATGTCGTCGACGGATCTTCAGATCTCTGCATCCAACTCGATCGGACCTTTAGTTATCCTACGGAGAAATGATTTCCACACGGCCTTTACATCTTCATCGGTCTTCAACTCAATCAGATTGTATTTCACCCAACCATTTGTATCAATATAATGGTCCTGAAACTCAATCTTTGTCACCCTTATGTTATCAGAATTAGACAGCAATGCATTCAACATTTCTTTTAGGGTGGCAAGGGATATGCTGCCATCTCAAAGTTTGAATTCAACAGCAGGGTTGGATTCATTGTAATGCACTTCTTCCTTAATCAGAAACTCAGGAAGAGGCATTTTTAAGATGCCTTTCTCTATAACACATGTCTCTATTTATACAAATAGCAAATGCATTCTAGGCCACACAAATATGTTGGTGCAATCAGAACCCTCCGAAGATGTCGCCAAAATATTGACCGTTAAAAATGAACTACCGAGAATTTTAGTATAACTCAAATTTCTTGTACTGCCTAGTAAATTTGAAATTTCTAAAATACCGGAAATTTCAAATACACTACCGAAAATTTACATAAATCAGAAATTTTGCAGGGGTGCACCTGAAATTTTCCCTGTACCGAAAATTTCAAAGCCTCTACCAGAGATTGTTTGTATCTCAACAAAGATAATTATGTATATTTAATATTAGGGATGCCATGTTTAATTCTGGGGGTATCATGTTAAATCCTGCTAAAAATATGGTACTAGTATTTCAGATATAATAATATTAATATGATAAAATTTATATTTTAATTAAACTACCTCATTAAAGGTTTTTTAGAGAAAAACTTAAGGGTTTCCTTTAGTTGGTGATGAGAGAGTCTACATGAGTCATATTTTTATTACTTGTCGTCTTCTTACTCGTTAATGCTTCCATATCGTTTTCATCCCTTTTTACGACATCGTTATGCCCTTGACTAATCATATTTACAAACTCTTTACACTCAATTTTAATCTCAACTTTTTGAGCCTTCGTCTATTTTGCAAGTTTCACTGTGTTGATTATGGCTTGAGACTTTGCGGATTGGAAAAGTTATCGTTCCCCAACAACAACATTTTGGACCTTAGGCTTTACATAGCGTATATGTCATTGAGTTTTAATTTCCATAATTTTATGTCATTGAGTTTTAATTTCCATTGTCTCAAGATCACATAAACATAAGTCTACAAAATAATACATATGAAAAGTACATAAGTCTAAAACAAAGAACATAACTCCATGCGAATGAAAAATGTCCAAAGCTTCAAATAACTCAGCAAATTGTGGGTCATTCTCCTTAGCACCAATTCATATGAGAGAACGATGAAGCAATGTATAAACATGAGCCCAAATCGGATCAGATGGTTCTACTTCATAAGCAGAAACTAGCATATACCTTGGCGCATTACGAGGGGCGACACCAATCGAGGATGTGAAATACAATAATACCACTCCAAGTATCCATCATCAGCCATTGTATAATCAGGAGGTGGGGTGGAACATACTGCTTGTATTGAAATTGTTGCAAACATTTATCATGCAAATATGAAACAACTGTGTCACCCCAATACAGACACCCTATATACAAACATAACTCGTTAAATCTTCACCATACTCTATGATCGTCGTATAGGCGCTATATGACATCATTAGGTGTCAGCTCGTCCAAAACATACCTCAAATCACCCACCTTCAAGACTCCTTACTTGTATCATAATCTCATAGCCTGAGGAAGTCCAAAAGAATCAGTTGGTTTCTAATCATCTCCTCTCTTTCCAAGTGTCAAAAAATACTCATGAATCCAACATTGTTAAAAATAAAAATTAATGGTATTAATAAATAATTTAACTAATACAAATAAATAAACTAAATTAAAATAATTACATGTAGCAAATTAGGATATCCACCAAGCTGTTTGCAACTGAACATCGAACATCTCTGAAATATTAGTAAAGGGTAGCCAATGCAGCTACTCCCCAACTGTATCTCCCAATCCATCCAAGTCCTGAAATAGTGAGAGATATAATGCCTCGATAAGTGTAAAAGTCTTGTCATCAAAAATTGTGGAATGTATTTAGTTGCACAACCTTAAAATAACAATGTTTTTGTTTCAAAAAACTGAAAATCCAAATAATTTTGCATTCAATTGGATGGTATTAGGCGTGGTATACAATGTTTACTTTCATGATGCATTATTTTAGTTTCACCGAATACGGGATATTGGTCATGTTGACAATAAATTTACATTTTATGATGTTTGATGAAATGTTTAAGAGGAATGTTGCATCGTAGACGTCGATGATTTATGGGTTTTGTAATTTGGGAGAAGTTGAGAAAGCGTTGGCCTAAAACTGTTTCTAATTAATTTAATTAATATCCTAAATCAAATTGGTTGTATATTTTTCTATGAGTTGATAAGTTTTGAACCATAAAATATTTTATTTGATATTGCATAGAATAAACTAGCTTTAGCTTTGAACTTATCGTATTTTTTTTATTTATAATTCCTCATCATAGTCGTCACTTTTAGATGTGTGGGCTGTTAAATTGTAATCCAGTGTGTCGAAACTATGTGTCGAAAAGATTTGATTTGTTTTAGATTTAAATAGACTTGATTTAAGTTTAGAATAAATTAGATTTGATTTAGTAACAAAAAGATATTTTGGGCTTTGGGCTTAGGGTGCAAGCTCAATTATAAATAGAGAGAGTAACCCCTATTTTTGTAAGCAAGTCAAGCAATTCATTCACAGTATTTTGCAGTTGCAAAGTGAATAAGAAAGTTTTCACAGTTTGTGAGCAGAGAGAAACTCTGCAGAAATTATTTATCTTGTCTTCTTTTCTTTGTTTGTCTCATAATTAAATTGTCATTGTGGTAGAAATTCATCATAGAGTTTTGGTGGATTTCCAACATCTGGTATCAGAGCTTTGTTTCGATTCAAGGGAAGTGTCATTCAAGAACGATTGAAGAATTCAAGATGACAAGTTATGGGAATGCAAATTATCCAGCAACCCTACCAATTCTGAAAGTTGACAACTATGAGAATTGGTGCAAACATATGAAAGTCTTATTCAGGTGTCAAGGTCTTTGGGACCTTGTAAAAGATGGAGTCGAAGCGCTTGGAGAAAACACTTCAGAAGAAGAAAAGAAGAAATACATAGAATCTGAGAAGCTGAGTTATAAAGCATTATTTATAATTCATCAATGTGTCAGCCCAGACAATTTTGAAAAGGTTAGTGATTCAGAATCTGCAAAAGAAGCTTGGGAAATCCTTGAGAAGTCTTTTGGAGGCGCTGAGAAAGTGAAAGAAGTGAGGTTACAAACTCACAAAAGGACCTATGAACTGCTTCAGATGGAAGACAGTGAAAGCATATCTGATTTCTTCACTAGAGTTACAAAACTAGTAAATCAAATCAAGATATATGGAGAAGCGTTAACAACAAGAGTTGTTGTGTCGAAGATCTTGAGATCTTTAGCTCCTAAGTTCGACCACATAGTGGTGGCGATAGAAGAGGGGAAAGACTTGTCGAAATTGACAAAGGAAGAGCTTCAAGCTTGAATCTCATGAACAAAGAATGAATGAAAGAGCTGCAGGAAAATTGAAGAGTGGTGTGGCCTTGCAGGCACATTTAGCAAAAGAGACTAAAGGCAAAGGAAAGTGTTTCAGCAGAGGTAGAGGTGGCTACAACAAATCGAATTGTAGAGGAACCCAGATTGAAGGAAACGTGCCGAATCAAAGAAGACCATACCAAGGAAACCAAAGAGGTGGTGTTGCAAATAGAGGAAGAGGTGGTGGTC